GAATCGTTTCAATGATTCGATTATCGCCAACAATTCTCGCTCATGGACGGGGTAATTCTGTTGTGTAGGAGTAAATTTCCCGGACCAGAAACAAGCGATTTGGGCTGTCTCCAGGTCGTCTCCTTGACTCAAAACACTGCCTGCTCCTGTCAGTGAAGCGTCTGTAACCAAATTAATCACGGGAGCCTCTTTCGAATAATCAAGTGGCTTTCTATGATGGTTGCGGTGATCTTGTACAATTTCCTTAATTTGTTCGAATGCGCGTTGGTGCGTTTCATTCCATTTCCAGACCTTCTTGGCATTGGTCAGTGGTGTTAATACACCCATAGGGATGTGGATCCCTTTACAATTGGGGGCTAGGTAGCCTACAGCTCCCAAGAATCCGTGCAACAAAGATGCGTTCGTGGGGACTTTCCAATTCCTGATACTCTCAACTTTGTTGGGGTCCATTCTGATTCCTTTCCGGTCGATCACATGGCCCAATATCTTCAGTTCGTCAGCGAAGAATTGCAGTTTATCCGGTGTGGACAAATAGAATTTCTGCTTTTCCAACAATCGGAATACCATACGGTGTAGGAGAAATAATATTCAAAGAATAAAACAATGATCTATCAGAATAGTCAACGAACAGGTGACAAGTTCAGACGTTTAACAGATCTCATGATCTTTATGAGACTGGACAGACATTAGAAGATCATTATAAAATATCTACACCCATGTAGTATGAGATTTAATCTACTACAATCATGCCTAGAACTTGACATAGGTGTAATATTCAAAGAATATATCCCTACAACAAGAAAATAGCACATAGACGGCAGAATAAGAAGGAACATTGGGAAAGAAATGTAAATATCTCGGGAACCAGTAAACTTTTGACTGTAATCCTTTTACCATCTGGAAGGACTGTTTCTTAACTTTATCCACGGTTTTGTTTCATTCTAAAAGCTTCAAAACTGACGGAGATATCGCTCAAACGGCGAAACACCTTATAATTCATATATATTTATTTGCTAATTCTTACAAAAGGTAATGTGACTCAAGGGAAATATATTGGCAGCCGGAAGTCAGGCGGACCGAATACCATATGATAGAGTATTCCCTGGCGCGGGCGGACAGTTTTTGATCGCATCAGAAGAGGAGAAAATGCTAAAAAACCGGATCTTGTATATTTTCCCATGATTCATCAAAACTTTTTGATTTTAAGCCCAAATAAATCGGAACAAAGGAATGATTGATGATCTGGATCTCGGATCATAAGCATGAAGTGATTCAGAAGTCCGCGGATCAGTTAATTAATTGGGAAGGCTCTAGAACATTAGTAATGATGTGGCTTCACAAAAAGGGGTCAATTAGAGAACAGTCTAGAAAGTTCCTTTATAGCCGAGTCATTTCTAAAGATAACCGTTCGTAATTAAGGCGGTGTAGAGCATAGCTTCAGCGCTACAAGATCCCGCTGAGATCGGCCCAAAAGACAAAGAAATGAATTACTTATTGCTGAGTCATGTCCTAAGTCCATTATTAAGCTTACACAGCCCAAGCCCCTATATCATTCTAGAACTATCTATAATACAAATGTAGCACATGTAACTAGTGCGAGGCGTGGGAGTAGAGAGGCCTCTGAAAAGCATAAAAGGCCACCGCTTCTGCCCCCTCTCAAACCTCAGGTAGAAATAAAAGTTTAATTCTCCTCACCAGTGGTTGGTTCGTTTGCTCCAAAAGATAAAAGCAAATATTAGTTGTTAGCTAATATAAAACTAACACGTCACTCTAAGCGTGAGTTAGGGTCAGTTAGACACAGCTGAACAAAAGTGTCATAGTGAGAATTAGTGAGAATTTGGTGGAGGGACTTCTTAATTGAATAATCTCTCAGCAATACTTGGTTATCACACCACAGGAGAAAAGTGAGCGATCCTGAACCTGCTAGATAACTAGCACGCACTCTAAGCGATAGAAAGAGCAGTTTGGTCACTCCTGTATTGAGTAACATTTATTGCGGAATTATTTTATTAGCAGTTTTCCTTCAGTAAATTATCAGGAAAATCACATCCTACTGAAAAGTGGTAAATATAGGTGTAATATTGAATAGAAATCATAGTGAAGTCAATATAGAATTTTATCCGTAGACGATCTATACATCAGGTGAGATCGTTGGGGGGTGTTTATTGTTGTTTAGACAGTGAACAATCATATATTTGGCAACCAAAACACGGTCAGTACGCAAATCAGCACAAACTCTAATATCGTTATTGGACGTAGGAAACTGGTTACATAAGGTGATCCAGCTCCGCTCCTTCAGCGGCCTTGCCGCTTAACATATGTTGGAGGTGTTTGACCTCATCCCGTCTGTGGACCTTGTTTAATTCAAAGTAGGTCTTCATGCCGGCGAACCAGACTTCAAACTTGTCGTAATTGGCCTCACCGCTATATGGTTCAGGTCCCTTGACCTTGACGCGTGGGCTAGATTGCTTTCCTTTCTTGAGCAACTTCATAAGTAGGCTTGTGTCGTTCTTCAGACTCAACCTGTTCAGTTTCCCTAGTTTTAACAACTCGGAGTCGTCTGTGTGTATGGTACTAGTCCTTATTGATGAACTTGATGAAGAAGAACTACTGTCGCCATCATCATCAGAGGGGTCTGACGGGGTTAGGTGTTTGGCTAAAAATGAGGAAGGAGGGACGAATGTTGAAGCTTTGGGCACTCTCAACGTCGTGTGGTTCTGTACCACTGGTTCCTTAACAGGTTTGTCTCTCTTGGGCGTCGTCGACTCGCGTTTCGATGCCTTGTGCCTTGTTAGTCTGTTCGATGCCAATCCATTAAGGACCGTCTCGGAGTCCATGTGTCTGTCAAATAACTTGCGAGCTTGAGTTGTCAACTCATCTGAATCGTCATTCTCACTGCCTTTATCAATGACCTTCGGTTGGCGTGGTGTTGGTGGTGCGGGCGAAAGTACCTCGCGCCCTTTGCCTTTTTCAGTAGACATGGATGCTCGAGCCGTCTGAGTGCCAGCAGCTGAGTATATTCGAGCGGTTTCAGCGTCAGATCGGGTATCTGTCCATAAGTCTGGAGCATACGATTCGGATTCGTGCTTCACCACTAGGTCTCTGAAGCGAAGGATCTTATTGAGAGCGTCGTCCGGCATCGCTAAGATATCTGACAATGAGAAAGATTTCTCACTGAATCGTGCATATGGGTCAGGGGGGTTCTGGAGGGATACAGGGGTGAAGGAACGTTCTGGGTTCTCTTGTCCCGTTAGATAAAAATTGTCTTCGTTGACTATAGACATGTCTTCGTCTTTGTCTGAGAGGCAGTCTTCGGACGATCTGTCACTAGATGTTCCATCCGCGCTGCTGGTACTTATCGCACTGCGGGCATCTGCGCTGCGGTTATTTGCGCTGCAGGTATTAATGGGGCTAATCCCCGGAGCTGCAAGATCTGCGCTCTCAATGACAGGGTTGATCCCCGGAGCTGCAGGTTCTGCGCTCTTCACAACGGGGCTAATCCCTGGAGCTGCAAGTTCTGCGCTCTTCAAGCTTGGGAAGCCACTTACCGGATCTATCTCATATCCATAGTTCTCGTCGGCTTCCCTGACACCTAGCTCGACTTCTAGTGTCGCCGCTAGCGTGTTCTGTTCGTTCTGTATCTCGGGAGAGAGCTCGGCAGCTTCTGCCAACAGGCTCCCGTTGTGCACGGAAAATTCATTAGTAATTGTTTCGGGCGCCAATGTATCGACTGAGAGAGATCAGCCACGTCGGCTTACCAAAGGCACGTAGCCGTGACCGCTCCTAAGTCTCATCATCTAGTTGCAACTAAGTCGTTAGAGGAGGTGAAGCTTAAGGTGGCCGGCCTTAAGCTGGGAATTCGGAAGTGAGGGTTAGATCGGTTTAGATCGATGTGGATCGAGTGTGTGTAGGTAGCGAAAAAATGTGAGGGACCTTAACGTCGGCAGAGGCCGACGATTGAGTTCAGGTGGTTAAGGGACTCACGAAATCTTAGGGTGATTGAAAGTCGCTGAACCAAAGTCGAACTCGATATTACACTAGGGGTGTAAAATACAAGATCTCTGCTTTTCCTATCTACTAAGGTTCTAGCTTATATACGGTTCTCTATGCTTATGTAAGCTTATCGCTTACACAACGCCAATGGTGACCTCCGTAAGCCCAGACGGGACTGGCCAGAGGACTGTGGGTTCAAGTCCCACCGTCACCCCAACCCTTCCTTCTTTTTCTCTTCTCCACTACCTTTTGGGATGGTGAGGTGCAATAGTGGTAGCGCCAATGGTAGCCTCCATAAGTCCATGGGCAGGCCAGAGGAGTGCAGGTTCAAGTCCTGCCATCACCCCAACACCCTTCCGATTCATCTTTCTCTCCACTACCTCTTCGTGACGAGGCGCGATAGTGGTAGCGCCAACAATAGCCCCATATGCCGACAAAAAGTTGACTGCAAGGAATGCAGGTTCAAGTCCTGCCGTCACCCCAACACTTTCATTTCTCTCCACTACCCCTTCTACCAAAGGCCTATCTGCCACATGCCTTTATTCAACAAGCATGAGCAAGATGCCACCAACACCCATCGCCTTTCGCTGCCACTGGAACACTCACCAGCCTACCGTGACATAAACCCGTGAAAGCACCCTCCAACTCACCCACCCGCAAGAACCGCACACTCAAACATTGACTTAACCATAGGCACACAGCAGCAAAACATGCGACCCCAACACTGGGGGTCGCGTGTCCTTTTCTCTATCCAACCTCTTTCCACCTCCATTCTCCCTCACCCGTTGTTCAACCTCAGTGCAGGGGTCGCATGCCCCTTTATGTGTTATTGCTTCATCTCACTTTATTCTCCTTCACACCATTGATTACTCGATGTCTCATACTTCCTAGGTCAAACAAATTCCTTTCTTCACATCCTTATGTTCTCCAAACTTTTTTCACCCGAGTCACTATAGTACGGCATATGCCGATAGGCACGGTTACGTACTCTAAAATGAATCCATCCATCCATCCATCCATCCATGCATATAGGTGGTCGCTGAGTGTGTTTTTTTTTTTTTTTTTTACATGCGCATAGAGCCACCTCTCTAACCATCGTAAATGTCTATTCCAACCAGTTAAGACAGACAATAGACCAACGCAACATGCATTTCTCCTGGACTCTTAAGCACTCTAGCAAGTCCGTTACGGGGATCCCAAGTCCCATGGCTATGCGATCGACGCGACGTATGTACGCTTGTGCGCATGTATTTCTTCTCCCTATCCAACACCGGTCTTTGGTTCCAGAGTTTTTTCAGAGTGGGGGGAAAGTTATCTGAGAGATTGAGCTGTTTTTTCGATTTGAGCAAAGCAAAGCGTAAACCATCGCGTGTTGTTATCGCTGGATGTACGAATTGCAGTGCTAGTCAAGGCGGACGTCGAAGAGCGTTGTTGCTGTTGTAAATTTAACCCATCAGCAAGTTTCTTTGTTGCCCCTTCAATAGTGGTCGTTTCCGGTAGAACGAGACATTTTAATGCTGATAATGTGGTGGTGAATTCTTGGATGGGTGGAGTATCGATTTGACTGCCGTCACTGTCAGTATCAATCGATTTCTCCTGGTCCGGTGTTGGAGGTTGGGGATGGAGAGAGGAAACGAGGTCGTCTATTGTAGATGTGAGGGTGGTTGAATGAGAGAGGAACGTGTCGAGGGTGTGGGTTGCTTCTGCTGAGGTAGGAAGAGAGTAGGAAGGGAGGGTGTATTGTGAAAGACGGCGGTGGAGGGAGAGTGTTAATTTCACGAGCATTCGTGTCTGGGCAATGGTGCAGTAATGGCACAGCCAAAAAATTTCGATGGATCCGTGCACCAGCCCGCGCGGTGCCATAACGGAAGAGTTGTGGTTTTGGAATCGAGATGAAAACAAAATTTATGTCAGATCAAGGCCGTTGGGCACAATGGCAGGGGCGGATACCTTTTTAGCCCGGTCTCGTTCTTCGGGTGTGAGTCTCCGACCGGTCTTGCCACCCATAATTTCATCCCACCCGTCATCCTCGCTATCCTCGCTCTCCTCATTGACCTCATCATCTGGGGGCGGTTCCCTGGTCAACTCCTCACACTCCTCCAATGCATCCTGAATGGAATCAGAATGTGTATCCCAAACTTTAAGGACTGCTTGAGCATTGGATTTTGAGAGTCCCTTTTTGGTGGATTCTATCGAGGCGTGGATGGCGTTTGTCCGGATGAGGTAGGTTTTGGAAAAGTCGTGTGGTGCATGATCGGTGAATGGGACGTTGTCATGGGGGGAGAAGGAATGACTCGGGATGAATGTCTGGACGAGTGCTCGAACGGTGTCGATGGTTTCTCGCGCTTTCCAAGATGCTTCGTTGTACAATGTTGCACCGTACCAGGAACTTAAGAATTGGACGCAAGAAGTTAATTTTGTGATGTCAGAGGTGAGATCGGATAGAAGACGGGGGACTGCTGGATAAGTTGAAGGCGGTTTCATTGCTAAGGAGAGGTTCGTTGAGTGTGTGTAAATGAGGGAGAGGATCGAGGTGTAGTCTGTCAGTATGGATTGAAGGGTGGGCCATTGTGCGTGTGCGTGTGAGTGTAATTCGATTGTGTAAGATGTATTTTTAAGAACGTTGAGTGATTGTGTGCATGAGTCTGCCGTTTGGTTGAATGTGACGAGTAAACCCGGCGGGACGGGAGTGAGCTCGGATGGCATGTTATCTACCAGGGAGTGGCTATTCGAGCACTAGTGCCAGTGTAATAGGACTCGCATTAACACATACTAATAGCTGGGAGCGAGTTCTGATCGAAGCGTTCTATGAAGGAGTTTTTTATGAAGGAGTTTTTCGTTAAAAATAACGTCAGGGTCTTACAGCGAAAACCGGTTTATCGGGGAAAAAAGCGATGAGAAAGTCCCTGAATGTGGGGGCAGGTGTTCCGCTTACTGTACCCACGCGACCAACTACCGGTGCATCCCAAGCGTGACACAAAATTTCTGCCAGGTGATGAACCGGGAGCTCATTTTGATGCGTGACAACCCGACCGGCAGGCGCGTGACCTTGACCGTGGGAGCATGATCCAAAAATGCTGATGGTCACGTTTGGTAGCCAGAATAAATGTGATTAATTTGAAAATGAGTTTCCCTTTAAAATTTCTTTGCACCTAAGTATGGATGGTTTTGCTCTTGCGCGATATATCTGCTCTTATTACCTGCACAGCAGGTCACTCTCTGGTGTTAATATTACGTGAAAACTGATGCTGAATCTGACGTATTCACCCATTTAGTTGCTGCGTGGTCATCTGATGCAATTGTTAAATTCAATATAATTTCCAGCTTGCTGTTTGATTACTTCAAGCCTTCCCACACTTTCATTGGCTGGAGATGTGCAATATATTTTTTCTTTTGTTCTTGCTATTTCCCATCTAGCCATCCATTCTCTGTCCTCTTCGTCCTTGCCTTCTTTCCCAGTCTTGCTTAGTTTCTCTATTGAGATTCATTAATCGTTCGTCTTCTTGTTCTAACACCTCACATGGTGTTGTTGTGAAGAGGCTGTCTTTGAAGTCTTGCAGCAATTGTACATTTGATTGGCCTCGTGCCCTCGACAATGTCACATACACATTGAACGGTGTTAGGCTTCCTTTCAGAGGTGTCCCGATGTCTGCCCATAAGTAGTCGATGGTTTGTCCTTGCACATGATAATCTGTAAATGCATATGCACTATCCATCGTGATCTGGTGTCAGTGGACCTTCTTTTTGTCACTGTTTGGCATGAATATGTCAAAAGATCGAAGAATCGGAAATATGGGGATTGTTACCTCTTCCAACCCTTGGATGCACTTTCCTCGGTATCTATCCAATTTCACCACAATGCACATTGGTGGGTATTTCATGTCTTGAATGCTGTCGATTGCTGTCATTATGATTTCTCGAGGATCTGCCCATATTTTGACAACTTCTCCTCTTGCCCCATTTGCGATATCCATGTCGGTATCCAGATTTGTGGTGATGATCACTTTGCATCCCTCCGCCAGGGGCACTTTCCTTGCCAGTCCACCTTGATGCTTCAGCCTGCCACTATAACTGTTATCCTTCAGCACATGCTGTGCCATCGCCCACTCCTCACATATCGTTAATGGTTGCCCCCCAATCATGTCTTCTGCATGAAAGTTGTACAACCATCTGCCTGTCGTTCTGCAATTGCATTGCTTGCTCATTCCACAAGACCCTCACTGCGTGTTGGGGCATCACCAATATGGCTTCCTTCCATGGGGCCTCCTTCGTGTTCGTTGGGGGACAATCCTTTGATGTCACAAGGAGTCTCCAAAGCATCTTCAAATGCGAAGTTGTGCATTTCCCATGTCGCGCATATCGAAGGAATTTGGTCCACTCTGCATCTTGGGCTCGCATTTGCTGTGTCAAGCACACCACCATGGTAAATCGTTGGTATAGCTCTGACCCTGTTATGTCCTCTCCTGTATCCTGTGCCACCGATATTGGCCAGTACAAAGGTGCGCTGCTTTTCTGCACAATGGGCTTGAACTGATGGAAGTCCCCGCAAATTATCACGTTCAATCCTCCCCATGGCATGCAGCTCCTCTCCTCCTCCCCATTGTGGGCCTTGATTAGCCCCATTATTGTAGAGAGGTGAGCCATCAGTGATCGGGATACCATTGAGTACTCATCAATTATGAGGTACTCCTTTCCTGCCCACATGCTTGCCAGTTTGCGGATTTTACTGGCCCCTGGTGTCAGGGGACGACTCCTGGGTCCCCATGACCCTCCCCTATGGCCCACAGCCTCAAGTCTGGCCAGCCCTATCCAGGGCACAATCCTACTACTGTGGGTCAGAGATGAGAAGGAAGTTAACTTCTCATCTTCCCACAGTGGCCACAATACATCGAAAACTTCCGGAGATATCTGGAAGTCACATGAGATCCGAGACCCGAGGTCCGGGCCATCCAGCCGCACTGAGCATCCGGCACAGGGCGCGCACAGGAAGTGCAGCAGCCAGGTGCGGTTGTGGGTGCAGGTGCGAGTGCAGGTGTGGATGCAGGTATGGGCTAGGTCAGGGTGTATGCCCTGACACCTGGCTTCCCTGACCGTTGAGCCATCAATCCAAACAACACATGAAGCGTCTTCCCTCCTATGAGACTGGCAGCAATTCCTGTGTATGCACCCAGGGCCAATTTCCCTTCCATGCCACAGCTCTTGAAGTATTGCTGAATACTGTGAATCACTTGCGACTTCCCTGTCCCACCTTCCCCAGTCAGGAGCATCAGCAATTGTTCTGCGTCCTCTCTGCGAATCCTCGCTTCAAGGTGATGTGTTACCATTGCGTACGCACAAAGCTGATCTTCATGTAGGCTTGAGACGTCTACATCATTGGATGCGTTGCTGCTTTCTGTCAGCATTTCAATTGTCTGCCACATAAAATCGTTGCTCCTCTCATGCATTCCGTTCAGCGCTTCTTCCAAAGTTGTCACTGCCATTGTTTGTGTGAGCATTCCTTCTCCACTTTCCTCTGCAACATGATTCTGTGCCATCGCCAACGACCATGCATTGAACTGTGCCACGTCTTTGTGCTCAGCTAGTCGTATCGTTTCCTTGCATGACTCCCATGTTATCGTGTCCTCTGGGATGACGTTGCATCACCTTGCAATTTCCACTGCCTGTCTTGCATGCAATACCTCTTCGGTCAGCTTGCATGTGGCAATGAATCGTCGCAATTCCCTTTCATCTCCTTCATCCATGCTTTGCCCCTCAATTCTTGTGTTTCCACCTTCCTCCTCTCTGTCATCTTCTCCATCCTCTTCATCACTTTCCACATTTCCTCCTTCATTGCCTTGCCTTCCACTGAATTGTCTTGCATAGTCTTGGTCTCGATCTGCTGCATCCTTGCACTCGTACCGATATTGCATGTTGGATGCGATGCGTTCCATTCCGGGCTGACTCTCTTCGAATTCAGCATAGGCTCTTTCCCATGTTTGTTCCCTTTGCTTCAGGTCCTCTTTCCCCTGCCATGGCTTCCACATCATGAGCATGCTCACATGATACATGCTGTTCTCCCCTTCCCTCATCCTCCAGGGAAACCAGGCTCCTTTGATGTTGACAACTGTGTTATGGCCTTCTCCTCTTTTTATGCGTTGCTTCACATCGTGGAAAGTGTCAGAGACCAGGTTGAGATGAAGGAGTGTCTCCGTGGCGGAGGGCTTCAGCCTCAGCGACTTATGCCAGGAGCGCTGTGCCAAGTAACACGTCCGTGCCCTAACTTACTAAACTGGCAACCAGAACTGAAGGGGGTAAACTCTAGTTGATTTTTATTACTCAGGTGTAACCTATGTACAAGTTGAGTATATATATACAGTTGAAACCGTGATAACCCATAACCCATCATTACCCATAGCCATTTCCGGGAACCAGTATGGTTCCCATTCAAAACCATCTGCTAACCCATAAACCTGTCTTCTCCCATAACCCATAGTGCTGGGGGAAATTTTTATATTGAGAATTGGCCTGTAACCCATAGTAATTGGAGAAAGTGCAGCACAGAAGCTACATACATATTAAGAAAGAATAGACATGAAACCGCCACATGTGCATTCGGCCCGTAACCCATTGTATTCCTGCTTAAATATGAATGTACATACACATTTCGAAGGTTAATAACAGTCAATATAATGAGAGAATGACAGGGGACAGTTCCGGAAAGAAATTGTGCCTTCAACGTGACAGTGCATGATGCTGAGCCCCCCTCTAATTACTCTCACCTCTCTTGAGAATGGCCTTACTGCTCTTAAGAATAATGCCCAGCCTCTCATAAATGAGCTCAAAGCCAAACTTTCATCAGGGATATCAATCACTGAAGAAGAAGAGGCTTGGTTGGATGGTGATGCAAATTTCATGGACGAGGCACTTCTGGTTGCCAAGCTTCAGCACACAGAGGACTTCATGAGCTCCTTTGACTCCCTTTCAGTTGGCCAGAAAGTGACTGCTCATTGCCTGCAAGTTGCAGGCAGTGCCAATTCAGAATGTGTGGCCAATCTTGTGTCGGGGGTGGAATGTGAATCCAACCTGAACTTGAAGCGTGAGTGCTCAACAACTTGATGGCTAGAGCAGCTGGCATTCAGAAGGCTTCCAGGCTCCCAAAAAGGAATCCCAAATGCAGAGTCATCAACAAAGAAGGGACCGGTCTTCAGCCATAAAGAGACAGCTACTCTCCAGCAACGCATTGAAGTTCTTGATTGGTATCACAGGAATGGAAAGAATCAAACTCGGACTGCCAGTCATTTTGACCCCATCTACCCTAACCTCAAGATCAAGCAGCCCCTCATCTCAGTTTGGCTGAAGAATGAGGCCAAACTTCGCGAGGAATTCCAGAGGTCCGATGTCACTGCAAAGTTCAAGCGGGTCCAACATACAACATTTCCTATGGTTACAGAGATGTTGGAACTGTGGACCATAGCTGCAGGGGAGAAAGGGGTAGTGCTCACAGGAGAGATACTACGAGCTAAATTTAAACAATTTTCCGACCGTGCTGGCATCGCTCCCAAGGATCAGCTCAGGATGAGTAATGGTTGGCTCCAATCCATTAAGAGCTGGCTTGGCCTCCGCTTGCATGTGCATCATGGTGAAGCGGGTTCAGCAAGCCCTGAAAATGTCGCTGCAGAGCGAGTACGTCTGCAGGGGCTTTTGTTGGGGTATTCACTCAGCGATATTTTCAATGGTGATGAAATGGGACTTTATTATTCGTAAGTGTTAACCCAGTCTCACTCACTTAATCGCTGATGATTTTCAGCATGCTGCCTGACAAGGGCTTAAGTAAGGGCCCTACACCAGGACTGAAGTACGCTTAACCTACTTTTTTGTTGCCAATGCAACAGGTTCCGAGAGACATGCCCCCCTTGTCATTGGTAAAGCATTCAAGCCTCGATGCTTCAAGAAGAAGACCGGTCTTGAGCTTGGCTTTGATTATAAGAATAATGCCAAGGCCTGGATGACCTCGACAATCTATGGAACATACCTTAGACAGTGGGACACTGAACTTCGCACTCAAGGACGGCACATTCTCTATCTACATGACAACTTCTCTGGCCATACCACACAAGAAAGCTTGACTAACATACGATGTGAATTTTTCTCACCAAATCTAACGGCCCATGTGCAGCCTATGGATGCTGGGGTCATTTGCTGTTTCAAAGCACATTATCGACGGCAATTCATCAGTTGCGCGATCGATCACTATGATTCCGGACTTACACCAAGCAAGATCTATAGCATCGACCAGCTGGAAGCGATGTGGTTGGCACAGACAGCTTGGATGGAGGTCACACCAGAGACCATCCACCACTGCTGGATGAAGGTTGGGATCCTGCCCTCAAGTTCGAGTGGGTGCCAGGTGGGTGAGGTGTCTGTACCTGTGTCAATGCTCATCAATTCCGGCCTGGAAGACCCAATCATAGCGGCCAATACTTATCTGGAGGAAAGTTTGGACAGTCTCCAGTCAGCTGGTGTCCTCCATAGGAGAAACAGGATGACTATAGCTGAACTGGTAGACAGTCTGTCGGAGATCTTTCACAATGAAGATGTGTCTGATGATGACATCTTCAGTACCGTGACTGAGGCATGGGGAGAAAACGAAAAGGACTTAGCAGGTCAAGGGGCCAATGATGCAGATGACTCCGATGATGGTATGCAAACTATCTCATGTCCAGAAGCTCTTCAAGTGGCACTTCTGCTTCGCGCTTACACCAAGCAAATGGACTCAACTTTTGCGCAGAAAATGGAAGCCATTTTGGCCCAGTTCGGATCTGAAACCTGCCACCAAGCCCAAGGATCACTCCGGAGCAGCACACTTGATTGTTACTTCAAGAAGGTTGCATGATGGTAGACAGTGATGATCGAGTTCAAAATATGTAAATACGGTACAACAAAGAACACCCGTGAGAAACTTGAGGTAGCCCATAACCCGTCATTACCCATACCTAAATCCGGGAATGCAAGGGTATGGGTTATCACGGTTTTAACTGTAGTTACAATGAGGGCAGGCCCGCAAATGGCGGAGCCGAGCAGAGCAGAGCTAATGGGGTTAGACATTAGCCGATTGAATATTACCGACGAGTTGGGTTATGGGGTTAACAGAATGGTAGGCGATAACCCAGAAACGGAAAGGAGGGATAGGCCCGAAGGTGGGCTTGCAGGGCAAGCGAGTGTATTGCCCAGCAGAGGCGGGAGTGTGCTAGTGGACATCGGAGCTGTCTGGAAGCCTTCGGGGCTCCATACTTAGGGAGGCATAGGTAATAAATTGAAAAGAGGGGGTGGTGACCATCGAGGGGTACCGAGGTGATTGCGGAATACAGGAGCTCTGAGGTTAGTGAAGAAGGAGCAGAGTTAGACTGGAGGGATCGGAGGGAGTGTCAGGGACCGGTCCGGGGTCGAGAGCGTCCGGGTATATCGCCTGGCGCTGAGGGCCCGGTGGGGTATGAAGCGGGCGTGTACGGGGACAGGTCCGGTGCAGGCAAGTGTCCCTGAAGTGGGAATAGTGAGAAGAAGACTGCTTCTCTGGTTCCCACCCCAGGTATGTTTATATACATGGTGCTCAGGTCACATGAGAGTTGCCACGTTGTCCCCATGCACAGCCCCAGCCACCCGGGTATCCCCATGGGGGATCCCGAAGGGATCCGCTGCAGGCGCGCATGCTGGGTGTACCCAGGGGTCATCCAGGGCATCCGGGGTTGGGTGCGTTGTGCATGGGTCACGGGCGGGTTAGTGGTACATTGATCAAGGGAAGTTGTCCATGTAAATAGAAATAGAAAGAATAGAGAATGAGATGGAGAAGAAATAGGAAGAGGGGGAAGTGGAGGGAGGAGGAGATAGGAAGGGGGAGAAGGGGGTAGCAGGTGGAGTGGAGCTGGGTGGAGCCGGGTGGAGCTGGGTGAGGTGGGTGTGCCCTGACAGGGAGTGGAAGTCGATGGCCAGGGATGGATATGACAGGGGCATGAGATGTATAGTAGAAAAGGGAGAATAGTGTCAGGTCACAGTCCATGTGTATAGGGGTCACATGACCCAGGGAGGTCACCATCGTCCTACCCACTGTGAATCATACATATTTGATACTCAGCTGGGTTCTAGGACACCCACCTTACAAATAGATACACTTGCCTATGCAGGGTGTCATATCCATCCATGGCCATCATCCTCCACTACCTCCAGTCCTTCCAGATTACCTCTGCTCCTTCGTCACTAACCCCAGAGCCTCATATTCCACAATCACCTCCGACTCCCTCAATGGTCACCACCCCCTCAATCCAATATAACCTATGCCTCCCTAAGTACAGAGTCCTGAAGGCCTCCAGACAGCTCCGATGTCCGCTAGCACACCCCCACCTCTGCTGGGCAATTCACTTGCTTGCCCTGCAAGCCTACCTTCAGGCCAATCCCTCCTTTCCATTTCTGGGTTATAGCCCACCACTCTGCTAACCCCGTAACCCGACTTGTCGGTAATATTCAGTTGGCCAACATGTAACTCTGTTAGCTCCACTCTGCTCGGTCCCACCATTCATGGGCCTGCCCTCTATGTAACTATATTACATAACTTGTAGATAGGTTACACCCTAGTGATAAAATCGACTAGAGTTTTCCCTCTTCTAGTTCTCTTTGCCAGTTAGTAAATTAGGGCACAGATGTGTAACTAGGCACAGCACTCCTGGTCTAAGTCGCTGAGGCCAAAGCCCTCCACCATGGGGATGTCTCCTTCATCCCATATCCAGTCTCTGACACAGGGCATGAGATGAGAAGAAGGGTAAAGGTCTCATCTCCCTGCATGGATAAAGGAATGGGTCACATGTCCACAACTATACAGCTCCTAGAGTTGTGTAGTGTGACCTGGAGGGAACATCCAGGTGGCAGTGCCCAGAGTGTGGGAAGATTCTGGGTGAGTTGCTCACCCAGAATCTTCCCACAGTTGGGGCTGTGCGGGTTTCTGGGCAAGCTGCTCACTCAGAAAGTTCCCATGCTATCCCATGCATGTGGATGCACAACACAC